TTCAGTTGACTTCATTTCCCTAAAAAAGTCCTCCTTTCCTCATGCTGTATAGCCTTTTTTCTACATTTTATCTCTTTTAAAAAGTCATCTAAAAGTTCAGAGACTTTAAAATAAACCTTGAAGATTTTCACTTTACTATGGCAAGAAACCAAAATGCTATGTGAACAGGTTATATTTTTCAATGTCCCCAAGTGTCAGAAATGAACAAAAGATAAGTAGTGGAGGTTATGTGACCAAAAAGGTTTCATATAAAGGATATCTGTTCAGAGCTCTTGGGAGAAACAATTCTTTAAATATATGGTTGTGATTTGATAAAATACTGAAATTGTTCCCAGCCAAAAATATAGCGGTGGCATTCTCTGAAATTTTTAACTGAGCTTTGATATTACGAGTTATAATAGAATATTAAATATGAACTATACACAATTTAAAAGCTATTACTAATATGTGAGTGACAAAATGCAGGGTAAAATTGTCTTAATGCTATTTGTCATTCTTATTGAAAACCTCCTTTTTCCTGAAATATTACTGTTCTAATTAATATCTGCTCAAAGAATATTCTGTCATTTTAATTTTAATAAGTGAGGCTTAAGGAGTATACCTCAATTAATTAAAATTGGGGCCTACTTATTGGTTAAATCTTTAATACTATTTAAATTTTGAGTGAATTTTTCTTATAATTTTGAAAGAGAGAAAACATTCTACCAGGGATTTTTTATCATTCAAATTGAATAATTTATCTAGAAAATACATTTAATTTAAAATTATTGTCTCTGTGACAAACATGTATCTCTTGTGGTAATTTTAATAACTTTAATCTGAAATTTTCTAACATATTTTACCGAGTTTTAACTATAAAATACAATGTCAGACATATTAAAACAAAATAAAAAACAACACAACATTTTTCTACAAGTATGGAAACAGTATTCTTCCCAGGGATTTGCTGGTCATTTATTTTCCCTATTCTATGTAGGTAGTAAAATATTGATTTGGTGGAATAACAGCAAGGGTTTTTGTTTTTCTTTTATAAGTATTATTAATTTCTCTTAAATCAATAAGTGGATGTCTTTTACACATCTTGGTAAAAATATCCGTATTAATTGCATGTGGAGCAAAATGTCAGAAAAATAAATGATTGTAGTAACTCACAAGACACTGTGGGAAAAATTCATATTCAAACTAAGCATTAAATCACTGATAGTTATCACAGAATAGCAAGTACAGTTGGAATATAATTGTATGTTAAATTATTCCATTTGTATCTTATAGCTGCACTCCAATTCTGACAAAGGTGATGGGTCTGTCAAGTACATCCTTACTGGAGAAGGTGCTGGGACCATATTTATCATTGATGATACCACAGGTGACATCCACTCAACAAAAAGCCTGGACAGAGAGCAGAAGACCCACTATGTGCTCCATGCCCAGGCTATTGACAGACGGACAAACAAGCCTCTTGAACCCGAGTCCGAGTTCATCATCAAAGTGCAAGACATCAATGACAATGCTCCAAAGTTCACAGATGGACCATATATCGTTACCGTGCCTGAAATGTCAGATATGGGTAAGAAAAATCATATTATACTTTGACTTAATATATTTTTGAGGATCTACAAATACATTTTGAACACATGTTTTAATGTGTGTGTGTGTGTACGAGTGTGTGTGTAGAAATTTGAAGAAGTTCTAAAATATTTTAATACTTTCCCGTGACCTAAAGTATTACGGAATATTGGTTCTAGTTATTATTATATTTAGTAAAATTAAACTTCTGAGTATACTGTATATGTAAGTAATGGTTTAATCTGAGGAAAACACTATCATAACTTGGAAAAAACAGCAATTCTTGATTAACTGACAGGTTTTTCTGGCCATGTATATTTTTCTAGTATATTGTTAAGAACATAGCAACACATTCAAAGTGACAATTTGCATAGAAAAGACAATATAACATCGTAAGTCTTTTGGTATATCTTTTAAGCTTATAGTTTATGAACCAATTAAAATAGTATTAATAGTACAAATAATAGCTACATTAATCAGTAAAACTTTACACATACTCTTAAACATTTATATAACATACATATTTAAATATACAATAACCTGTGGAGTATTTTGAATACCACTTTTAAAATGTATGAGTGACATAAGCCAGTTAAAGAAAGACAAATATCACATGATTTCACTTAGTTGTGGAATCTAATGAACAAAGTAACCTGACAAACAAAATAGATCAAGAGATATGATGCATGGAACAGAATAACAGATCTCAGTGGGGATGGTAGGTGGGAGGGGACAGGAACATATATGCATGACCTATGGGTAAAGACAGTAGTGTGGGGAAAACCTGGAGTTGGTGGAGGGGGTAAAAAGTAATAATAATAATGATAATAATAATAATGTACAAAATGGCATACAGTACTTAAGTAACTTGTCTAAATTCTCATGTCTAGAAATGGGCCAAAAAAAATCAACTCCAGCTTCTTCTGAATGCAAAGCTTACACAGCAGTTAATAACTTGTAATCTATGTTTCCAGTCACCTCATGATCTGGCAATTTCCCCACCACTCACCGATGTCTGTGGTCCAGCTATTTTATTTTATCTTTATCTCATGTGATTAATTTCCCAAATGTAATTAAAGTTCATCTATAATAATAATAATTTTGATCATTCCTGAGACTTAAAGCTTAGATTTAGAATATATGATTTGAATAAAGATTATTTTTCCATGTGTGTACATTAGAGGCATTAGAATATGAACGTATGGAAGGTCATGTGAAAGTGGAAGGAGAAACTCACATTACATTGGGAGCTTAATAGGTGATACATTAACTCTAATCCATATTAATAAAAGCATAATATACCAATTAGACCGGATGTCCTTCCAGACGACCTTCCGGATGAAGCCGGGGCTGTGAGGGAAGCCCAGGTCCTGGTTGCCAGAGGAAAGCCAGTGCTGGCACCTGGAGGAAGGAAGGCCTATTCTTGCACGAATTTTGTGCACCAGGCCTCTAGTTTTAGAAATAAAAAGCTAGCAATGCTGTAGATCAGGACCAGCAAACAATGGCAGGGAGACAAAGCCATCCTGCTGTTTGTTTTTGGAAGTAATGTTTTACTGGAACACAGTCATAGCCATTCATCTATGCTGCGCCTGCGGTAGTCTGGGTACTACTGTGGCAGAGTTGAGTAGTTGCAGTTGAGACTGACTCACAAAGCCTAAAACTCTTCCTGTGTTGTAAAAGACAGAAAAGTTTGCCAACCTCCACTGTAAGGGCTTTCAGGAAACGAGGCCAGAGGTAGGGGGATAAGGTGCGGATGGTGGCGTAGTCCTGGTGATAGACCCGGCATCTGTTCATTTAGGGCAGTCCGTGTTCTGCCAGCCTTGCTGAATACGCATCTACGCAGAAATATGGCACTTGTTACAAATAATAGGGTCATGCTTATTCCCTTCACACATGCACTGTTAGTGATCTCACTAATACTCAGCCTTACCTTCTGTGTTATTAACAGAACTCAGTTTTGTTCAGGGTGACACTTTGCAGAGTCAAATGTTCATCTCCCATCACTCCTTTTCATCTAGGAGTGGCCATGTGACTTAATTCTAGCAGGTACGATGTAAGTGGAGTCCAGAGAGGGAGCTTCCAGGAAAGATGTAGGTCCGTGGACTAAAAGCCGTAGCTGGCACACATATGTCACCACTGCCATGTTCCTTTCTTGCTGCCTATAATGCAGATGTGTGGAAATGCAGCCGCTGCCAGCAACCACAGGAGCAGAGGTCTTGCTAAGTGAGATGGAGCAGAGAGAGAAAAGAGACTGGAACACATGCTCCAGTCCTGGCCTACCCATCCCAAAACCTTCCTTCTGAAAATAAACCTCTTTCTATTTAAGCTCTTCCACTCAATCTCAGATACATGAAGGTACATTGAACCTGAATTGGTCCTTGGCCAACTTCTAGGCTTCTACATGGATGTAATAAACAAAAAGTAGGACGTAATACTGAATCTAAAGGAACGGGGAGAGAGGTTTCAGCATCAGATAAGAAACAGCCATGCCATTTTCCATGAAGTGCTTTGGTTTGTAAATAATACTCCTTTCTCCTTTCACTGTGTAATTAGGATGCTACTTCATTTTGCTATGAGGGCAATGTTCCTTTCTGGCTGTGGTGTTGCTAAGAGTTTTCAGAGACCTAAATCTTGCTTGCCATCAACTGTGGAATCAATTCCATCTGTGCAAGTTCTGATCAGTGGATAAAAGGAGATTGGACATTTTGCATTTAGACTTGGAGTTCTACAGAATATCTAAAATTGATCCCCACAAAGCAAGTTAGTTTTGTCAGAGTCTGTGACTACAAGTTGCCACAGCAGTTGTGATAATGACCACTGAAATAGCTCCAGGGAATATTCATTGAGCACTTAGCATGTGTCGGGCATGGCATGCTGTTTGCAATAATTTCATGCTTACCTAATCATGAAGGCAGCATTAAAATGATCTTTGTTTTACAGAGGATGAAACAGATATATAAAATTAAGTAATTTGTCCAAGATTGCATGTTTAGTGAGAAGTGCATTGGAAAATATCTCTAAGCTAGGCAGAGCTTTACCTTTTGAGTTTCCTTTTTTTAATATAGTAAAAGTACTAAAATCTGGATCAATATATTTTTTGAATCATTACAACAAAATAGTAGGTGTTCCAGAAGTCATTTGTTTACTAAACCAGCAGTGGGGGGTCTTATTTTTGACCCAGTAGATTAGATTGGATGTTATTATAATGTTCCTTTTGTTTAAAAGATAGGATTTGGGGATGGCCAAATACTATGAGGAGAAAAATTCTTCATAATTGCCTAGAAGTATGGGAATAGCCATTTATTTATTCTAGAATCGAATCCCTAAGGAGTCCAACAAGTACATGCTTTTGAAAAGAAATCATCTGAAAACCTTAAAATTATGTACATTAGGCATAGTGTGGATAAAGACAATGGACCGGTTCCAGGTAGGCATTTTTACCCAAAGCTGAGAAACCTTTGTAACATGGATGGTGTGGAGTAGTCCAGGGCCATTTTCTGGAGTAGAAAGTAGCCTCATTAACTCAGCTAAGGAGTGGAGTTCAGATGGAGGACCAAGCATGCTCAAGAGATTGGGACAGTGTGAAAGGGTGTATTTTTCTCCATGCTTAAGAACAAAGTAGCCTGGCCTGTGTGGATCACAGGCTTAGCATTGACCTATGAACCAGGAAATCACAGTTTGATATCCCATCATGGCACATGCCTGGGTTGTGGGCTAGAACCCCAGTATGAGGCATGCAGGAGGCAACTGAACAATGATTCTCTCTCATCATTAATGTTTCTATCTCTTCCTCCCTCTTTCTTTCTCTCTGAAATCAAGGAAAATATTTTTAAAAGAACAAACTAAATGATTAAGTAATAAAAACAGGAACTTTCAATCTGCTAATAAAAACATAACCAGTAAACAACAAAACAAACACTGCTGATAAAATACTTTAATATAAGCTATGAATCCAATAACCAATAAGAAATAAGACATGAATTTTAGTGAATTAACATTTGAAAATACAGATGTCACATATTAATACTAAAGCTAATATGATGAAAGATAAATACATATGTGTAAACATCATGGATGGCAGACAGAGGACTAATTTTTATTACTTAAGGGCCTTTCTGTTTCTTTGTCTGTTGTTGCTTATTGAGGTGGCATTGCTTAATAACATTATATAAGTTTCAGGTGCCCAACATTATAATTTGGTATCTGTATCACCAGCAAAATCTAGTTTCCATTCATCATCATATATTTCCCCCTTCCAACCACTCCCATAACCCTCTCGTTACCACCGTTCTGTTGTCTGTATCTATGAGTTTGTTCTAATTTTGTTTTCTTAGTTTATGTTTTTGTTTGTTTTCGATTCCACACATTTATGTGTGAAATCATACATTTTTTGGCCAGTTCCATCTGACATTTCACTTAGCATAATACCCTCAATATCCATCCCTGTTGTCACAAATGACAACATTTTATCTTTTTATGAATGAGTAGTATTTAATTGTTTTTATATATCATATCTTCTTTATCCACTCATCTACTGATAGACGCTTAGATTGTTTCCATATCTAGGCTATGTAAATAAGCTACAATTAACCAAGGGTACATGTATCTTTCTGAATTAGTGTTTTTGTATTCTTCTGATAAATATCCCAAAGTAGGATTGCTGGATTACTTATTTATTTATTTTTAAAAATCTTCACCTGAGGACATTTTTTTTCCATTCATGTTTTGAGAGAGTGGAATGGAGAGGGAGAGACCAAGAGAAACACTGATGTGAGAGAGACACATCAATTGGTTGCCTCTCACAAGCCCCTGACAAGGGCCAGGAACCTGCAACTGAGGTACGTGCCCTTGACCAGAATTGAACCTGGGACCCTTCAATCATAGGCCGATGCTCTACCCACTGAGAAAAACAGGCTTGTGGGGATTGCGGGATCATAAGGTAGTTTTATTATTTTATTTTTTGAAGAAATTCCTCATTGTTTTCCATACTGGCTGTAACAA